TCCCGCCCCCTTGGCCCCGCCCCTCCCGCGGCTCCGGGGCTTGCTCACCAGCGTTGTAGAAAGAGTCCAAGGCGGCGGGCTCGCCCAGCTCCACGGTCCCAAAGGGCAGCGTACGCAGCTGCGGCGCCGGGCGCGGCCCGGGGAACTGGACGCAAGCGTCGCGCAGGCAGCGCAGGGGCAGCGGCTCGGCCTCGGCCTCGGGCTCCCGAGTCAACACGTAGACCACGCTAAGCGGCCGACTCCGGCCCCAGCCCCGTCCGGCGACCGGCGGCCGTGGGGCACTCAGCGCCGTGGCCAGTGGGTCCTGCCAGCAGCTGCCGGCGCGCTCCGGCCTCCGCTGACCCGGGCCTGCCATCCCCGCACCCGCAGGCCAGTGGCCGAGCTGTGGCTCCCGCTCCCCGATCGGCTGCTTTCACGTGGGGGCCGGCCCGGCCGGCCCCGCCCCGCCCCGCCCCCAGTCGGGAGCCTGGGCCGCGTGCCGGGGGACACCGGTGGGCTGCAGACTCGCGTGTGCCGGCCTGCCTGCGGGAGAGGAGAGGGCGGAGCCGTGGAAGGGCGAGTCCCAGCGCCGGCTTGTTCATTTCCTAGCTCGGTCTCGTGGCCAAGCCAGTTCCCCAATATGGTCTTCTGTGTCCTCCGCGGTCAGGCTCGGTCCCCGACGTCTCCCGGGATTTTGAGTCCCGGCCACTACGGACACTGGCTAGCTGTGGACGGGCACCGGGCCAGTGCCGCCGAGACCTGGATTCCGATCCTGCCTCCGGCAATAATAATAGCTAACATGTATATAGCACTTACTATGTGCCGGCACTTTACAATTATTAGTTCATGTGATCTTTACAACAACCCTGGGAGGGAGGTACTATTATCCCCATTTTATAGGTGAGGAAACTGAGGTTAAATGACTTGCCCAAGGTCAGTGTCTGCATTTGAACTCATGTCTTCCTGACTCCAGGCCCAGCACTCCATCCATTTCCACAACTAGCTTTGTGACCCTGGCCAAGTCACTTAATCCCTTTCAACCTCAGTTTCCCCGAACATAAAACAGAGATAATAATAGCACTTATCTCGAAGTGTTGTGTTTATCAAGTGAGATTACCTATGGAAAGTGCTCAGCAAGCCTTAAAGGGCTATATATACATGCCAACGTTTGGTGAGGATAATTAGTCAATATGCATTTATTAAACACATACTGTGTGCTGATTCGTGGGCAAGTCACTTATCCTCTCCTTCTCAATTGTAAAATGGAGATGATAATACTTCCCTCCAGGGGCTGTGAGTGTGAGGGACCGTGGTTAAGTGATTTGCCCAAGATTACACAGAGACTAAGTACCAGGGGTGGAATTTGAACCTAGATCCTCTGATTTTTGGGGGGGTTTGTTTTTGTTTTTTCTGGAGGTACCTCACTGCCTCCTATGGTGTCAAATGAACATGCTTTGGAAACTAAACTAAACTAGGAATTTAAGTAAGTGTGTGTGTGTGTGTGTGTGTGTGTGTGTGTGTGTGTGTACAAGGATGTTTTGTTTGGAGACACATATCCTTGTATGTACAAGGATATGTGTTTGCAGGGGCAGACAGATACTTGTGGGGGAGGGCAAATATGTGTGGGTGCACTTTGAATAAGCCAGGGTGTGTCCCTGTTCCCAGGCATCCCTGAAAAACCAGCCCCTGCTCTCCTCTTGAGGCATCAGAACTGGAGAATCAGGCAAGGATAGCTATTCTGGTGGCTGGGGGTGGCCCTGCCCATCTCATTTTTTCCTTCTCCTGAGTCTCCAAACTAGACACTTTGTGGGGCATTGCCCACCTGTGGCCAGGACTGATCTCCCTACCCTGTAGCGTAGGGAGGAGTCTTTGCACACAAGTCAAAACCCAACCCTGGCCTGTGGTTGCCAGCTTCCCCTCCCTCCCTAAGGAAATAGATGTTTAGGAGGAGAGTTGGGGAGGTTGTCTGCTGGGGGAGAAGGAGGAAGGAGATGGAAAACATTTATTTATTCAATGAACACTCAGACCTACTACACATAGTCTTATGATCCAGAGCTGAGGGACACATTCCTTCATGTTCTATGCTTCCTTTAGTTCATAAGCTGTTTTTCTTACCAGACTTCTTAGATTTCTGTCTTGTGGTCACAGAAACCCTGCCACTCTCCACCCCACCCCTACCCCCCAAAAGATGCTATATCCCTGGTTTCCTTCTCCAGGGCCTTCTCTCATCACTCCCTGTCCTTCACCTTCCCATCTACCCTCCTCCCCCACTGAACCAGGAGGTGTAGACATACTCTGTCCTCCTCACTGCTATTTCCAAATCTTCCCCCTTCTCCCACCATGCAGTATGTACTTCTCTTTCAAGGGTCACGCACTATCTGTGTTGCCCTATTTATTTAGATCCTGGGGGGAGGGGCAGTTAGCTGTCTATCAGCTTCCCAGGTCAATTTCCCAGTCTTCTTTTCCAGCCCAACTCCCTGCTCTTCTACTTGGAGACTTGAATATACATGTTGTTTCTTCCAGTTTCATCATCCTCAACTTTCATGACCTGTATCCCCACTCCATCTTGGCCATACACAGGCATGGTCATGCCCTGGATACCTGCCAGGGTCCCAGCTCCACTATCCATAATTCTGAAACTCCTCTATCTGACCATGACCTTGTAATCTGTCATCTCTCTCTATGCCTCATCTCTCCTAAACCTATTAGTTATCCTTATTATAATGTCTGGTCACTCCACCCTCCTTGCTTTCCTAGTCCTGCTCTGGCCTCATTTTCCTCTATTCCCAATTTTATGCCATAGTTAACCAATTCATTCTGACACTCTCTTCTCTTCCCAAATCCCTTTCCCTTTGTCCTATCACTGTATGTCCCTTTCCAGAGAGCAAGCTCTGGATCACCATTCAAATTATCTGCTTCTACTCCAGGGTTGTTTAATACCAGTGAAGTAATTTATTGTTGTTATCCAGTTGTTTTCAGTCTTGTCCAGCTTTTCATGACCCCATCTGGGGTTTTCCTGGCAGAAATACTGGATTGGTTTGCCATTTCCTTCTCCATCTCATTTTCCAGATGAGGAAACTGAGGCAAAAAGGGTGAAGTGATTTGCCCAAGGTCACACAGCTAGGAAGTGTCTGAGGCCAATTTGAATTCAGGTCTTCCTGACTCCATGTGCCATCTAGCTTCCTTATAAGCTAATTGAGAAGAGACTGTGATAGAATGGTAGTCTTCAAATTGTTTGGTCTCAGGACTCCTTTACACTCTTAAAAATTCTTGAAGACTCACCCCCCCCCAAAAGGGGGGGTTGTTTATGTTTTTTGTTCAGTTATGTTCCACTCTTCTTGACCCCATTTAGGATTTTCTTGGCAAAGATACTGGAGCAGTTTTCCATTTCCTTCAGCTCATTTTACAGATGAGGAAACTGAGGCAAAGAGAGTTAAATAACTTGCTCAGGATCACACAGCCAGGAAGTGTCTGAAACAGATTTGAACTCAGGAAGATGAGTCTTTCTGACTATTCACTATGGTGCCACCTAGCCACCAGTGAAATAATACAACTGTCTTGTTTAGGTCCACTACTAATTTATATTTCCACATCTCAACTGCTCTCTCACCATCGAAATCCTTTTACTCCTCCCTCCTTAGGTCTAGGTCCAGGGACTTCTGGGAGGCCCACAAAGTAAAAACTATTTTCATAATGATACTAATATGCCTTAATTTCTAATATGGTAAATATTGATAGATATTACCCACATAAATAAAGGGGGCAGTTAAGTGGTGCCATAGTACATAGAGTGCTGGGCCTGAAGTCAGGAAGACTTGTCTTCTTGAGTTCAAATCTGGCCTCACATACTTACTAATAACTGTGTGACCCTGGGCAAGCTATTCAACCCTATTTGCCTCAGTTTCCTCATCTGTAAAATGAGCTGGAGAAGGAAATGGCAAACTGCTTCAGTATCTTTGCCAAGAAAACCCCAAATGGGATCACAAAGAGTCAGAGATAGCTGAAAGGACACAACATCCATCCATCCATCCATCCATCCATCCATCCATCCATCCACCCATCCATCCATCCATCCATCCATCCATCCATCTATCTATCTATCTATCTATCTATCTATCTATCTATCTATCTATCTATGTTCACAGGCTCCAGATTAGAACTTTTGCTCTACAGCGTGTTGGGGTGGGGTGGGAGGCGATGAGGCAAGAGGGTGGGTACCAAAGGGAGGAGAGTGACTTTTTTTTAGAGTGATTCTTTTGAATGCTAACGTTTGAGGGAGGCCAGGAAGGCTTAACAGTGATTTTTTTTTTATCAGAGGGCATTGTAGTTGGTACATCTGTCTAGGGGCCAGAGCTAAGTTCAGTGCTGGACCCAGGGAGGTAGAAGGTCTTAGAGGAGCCAGAAATCCCAAGAAACAGAATGAGGGATTCAGATAACATTAGAACCAGAAACCCCTTAGAAAAGAGAATGTTCGAGTGAGAAGGAACCTTAAATGTAGACTGTTAGAACTGATAAGGAACTTGGAACATAGAATGTTTGACAAGGGGGGCCCCTTTCTCCCATGGCTGAGTCCTTCTCAGAACCTCCATTCTGAGGAAGGACCCAAATAGCCTTCATCCTCTGGACTTCCCCATCTTGTCCGAGAGTGTGAATGGCTCTCCCCACCCACCATCTCATCTTGCTTTGTTAGTTTCCTTTATATAGTGTCTTCTTCCGTTAGAATATAAGCCCCTTGAGGTCCAGGCTTTTTGCTTGTATTTGTATCCCCAGTGCCTGGCACGTAGTAAGTGATTAATAAAAGCTTGCTGACAACTTAGAGCTGAAGCTTTACAACAGACTGTTAGAACATAAAATATTAGAGATGTTAGCACCCTACAAATGCAGAATGTCAAAATGAGGAGGGACTTTAGAACTCAAAAGAAGTCAGCGTTAGAGGGATCTTAGAGAGATCTACAGAAGGGAAATAGCTTGCTAAGCTTAGGTCATGTAGGATACTGTAGTACCCTCCCCCCCCCCCGTGCCTAACGGAGCATCATTAAGGTTCGACGGTAGGGGTGGCCCACTCCCAGCCCAGTGGCCCAGTCAATGCCATACTTGTATGCCCCAGCCTTAGTACTTGCATAGCGTCCATTGAGGTTGGATTTATAGCAGTTTTCATACCACCAGGCCCCTTGCACTTCGACTGCACAGTTCCCATTGTGGATGTCACTATCAGCATCATGGGTGGAGAAGGGCTTTCCTCTATGATAAGTCAAGGAATCCCCTGGAGGGAGTGAATAAGAAAGAGAGCTTACTCTGACAGCCTGTCTTCCCTCCTTCCCATTTCATTCTCTGTTCCCTGGTCACCCCTTCTAGCCAAACACAGATACATAAAGAGAGGTAGTGTGGAATAATGGACTAGGAGTCAGGAGAACTGGGTTCTAATCCTGGCTCTGATGCTGATTTGTGATCTCAAGGAGGTGATTTCTCCAATCTGGGTCTCATTTTCTGAATCCAGAAAATGTAGGGTTTAATCAAAATGATGGTAGGATTTGAAGCACGTAGAGGCCTCAGAGGTCAACTCCATTTTACAGATGAGGAAACTGAGGCCCATTGAGGTTAAATGACATTATAAATATCAGGGTCAGAATTCAAACTGGGGTCCTCTGATTCCAGATCTAAGTTCTTTCCATGATGTCATACTGTCTGCTCTAAAAACTAGCATCTAAATTTTTTTTTTTGGTGAGGCAGTTGGGGTTAAGTGACTTGCCCAGGGTCACATAGCTAGTGAGTATCATATGTCTGAGACCACATTTGAACTCAGGTCCTCCTGACTCTAGGGCAGGTGCTCTACCCACTGCGCCACCTAGCTGCCCCTAGAGCCTAAATTATTATCAGAAACTTTAGAGTTCAATGAGTTTCGCCTCTCCTACCATCACTTCCTAAGGCCTCTCAGGCTCTTCACTTCCCCAGCCCTTTCTGTGTAACCATCTGTTTCTTCACCCGTCAAAACTAGATGAAAAAGTTCTGCCAAGGGTAACCTTGAAAGGGTCCACCCCCAAGGCACTGAGGAAGGCGGCACCCCATGCTCACTTCCTTCTTTTCAGTCCCTCCCCAATGGCCCTCTTCTCTGAACAGCCTTTCCTGGTTCCTCCTTCCAGAGGCCCCAGTTCCTGCTCCCCCTGCCAACGTACCCGCAGTGCCCCTGATGAACTTGTCAAGAACCAGCTGGTATTTGTCAGCCTCACTCAGGATCCTGAAGCCCTGGTACTGGGCAAAGGTCTGGGTGCCATTGAAGTCTTCCAGTTCCACTCGGAGTTCCTTGGGTGCTTCAGGATGGGGAGAAGGCAGAGGTATAAATAGGAATTCCTTCACCTCCAGCAAAAATAGGGTCAGACATGACCTGTGGGTATGGTTGCCCCTGAAGAGGATGAAAGGGCATGCCCAAACTAGCTGTTTGGGTTTAGGCCCTATTTTCTCTAAGCTAGTTAGGGTGCTGGGGGAAATCAGATGGCCACCCTTTCCCCAGCCCGTTTCCACATTCCTGCCTTAGCAAGGCTGCTAGTACCATGGTCATGTCCTTTCTCTTGAACTATAACCCTAGCCGCATTCCCCACAGCATTTTGTGTCATAGCATTGTGTAGTGGAAAAAACATTATATCTGGAAGCAGGCTCAAATCCTGGCTTTTATTATCTGTGTGAGTCTGAGCAAGTCATGTTCTTTGGGCCTCAGTTTCCTCATCTGTAAAATGAGGGGACTGGACCTTTATATAGCCTCTTCCCTCTCCAAACCATCTTTCAATCTGCTTCCCAGTTACTCCTCTCTTCAAAAAACCATCAATGACTCGCCATTGTGTACCAACTAGAGTGTAAATTCCTGATCCAAGGCTTTTCACAACTTGGATCCCAGCTGCCTCACCTCACCCTCTTCCCCTTCCTGCTATAATCAAAGTGGGCTTGTGTTTGTTTTTTTTTTTAAAGGCAATTGGGGTTAAGTGACTTGCCCAGGGTCACACAGCTAGTAGGAGTCAAGTGCTTGGTCTGAGGTCACATTTGAACTCAGGTCTTCCTGACTTGAGGACTGGTGCTCTATCCACTGCGCCACCTAGCGGCCCCTCAAAGTGGACTTGTTCCTCAACACAACCTCATAGAATCACAAAATCCTGGGATTGGAAGGGACTTCAGAGACGATCTAGTCCAACCTGTACCTAAAACCCACCACAACATTCCCAACCAATGGTCATCGAGCCCTCCAAAGATGGGGAACCCACTACTTCTGAAGGCAACTCATTCAACTTAAGGACATTTCTAATTATTAGCAAGATTTCCCCTGACATCCCCTGTTCCTCTGTAACTTCTGAGTTCTGACAAACAGAACCAGTGTGATCCCTCTTTCACTTGTCTCCCCACTTCAAATAGTGGGTCTTCTCCAAGCTAAACATTCTGGGATCCTTCAACTAATTCTCAAATGACCTAGGCTGAAGGCCCTTCCCAATCCTGGTTACCCGCCTCTGGACACTCTTCCTTGACCTTCTTAAAACTACTACATTCAGTCCTGAACACAGTTCACTTCCTGGTCTGACCAAGGCAGAATACAGATGGATGATCACCTTCATTTTTCTGGAAGCTATGCCGTCTTACTGGGGGCCTAAAGTTTCATTAATTTTCTTGTTTGCCACCTCATGGTACTGACTCCATTTCAGCTTGCAGTCCACTGAAACTCCCTGATCTCATCCTTAAAACACTCCTATCTAATTATTCTTCTCCCACGTGGTAATGATAAAATTGATTTTTTGCACCCAAGTGTAAAATTTTACATTTATCCTTTTTGAATTTCATTTTATTCAATTCAGCCCAATGCTCTAGTTTGTCGAGATCTTTTTGGGTCCTGATTCTGACTTCCAGTGTGTTATTTGGTATTAATGCAGATTTGATGAATCTTTATCCCAGATGATGATAAAAATTTGAACCAGCCCAGGGCCAAGCAAAGATCCCTGGGGTTTTCCATTGGAGAATGTCCTGAGGAATCGTTGATGTCTATTTGTCCTACTTCCTGCCATCTCTGTGCCTAAGTGCTTAGAATGAATTCTCATTTGCCTATAGTGGGGAATAGTGAAATACATGCTGGATTTAGTCAGAGGCCTTGAATTCAAATTTTGGTTCTACCATTTACTCTCTGAGGCACCTTATGCAAGTCACCTCCCCTTCAAGGGCCTCGGTTGCCTCATCTGTAGAACCAGGGTGGCCTCTGAAGTGCCTTCCAGCTTTAGTCTAGGATACCGGGATTTCTGTGGGAAGGTCTCTCCCAGCTTGCATGCCAGCTTCTCCATTGTTTCCACCCTCGATATGATGAAAGTGTTCTTCTCACACACCTCCCTTCACATTCCCCACAGCATTTTGCCTGGTAGCATCCATTATGTCTGGAATCAGGCTCAAATCCTGGCTCCTATTACCTGGGTGAATCTAAGCAAGTCATGTCCTCTGTGCCTCAGTTTCCTCATCTGTAAGATGAGGGGACTGGACCAAGGACCAGAGCAAATGAGCAATTTTTCATCTAGGGCAAAAATCATTGGTTATAGGGAGGTAGCAGCTCTGCTAAGGCCCTTTCCAGATCGAAGTCTATGGTACTATGACCTTTTGCTCTTATCTCCTTTGCTCTGGCAGCATCTCTTCCTGTCCCCACCCCCATCCCCCACTGGACTCTAAGCCAACCCTTGAGGGCAAAAATTGCATCTTACTTCTTGTTTCCCCAGGACCCGGCACAGTGCCCTGCACATAGTTGAGCTGAGTAAATATTTGGTGAATTGAGATCTGAGAAAAAGAAGCAAGCCTCAGAGAAGTGGCTCTCCTGATGGCCAAGGTGCAGAAGGGTGTGGGCCTGGATTGCTTACCCTCACGGGTCAGCTGATAGAGGTTCTCATTTCCAAGCCAGAACTCAGACTCCTGGCTCCCAAAGCCAGCTTTGTAGGATGCCCAGGGTCGGTAGAAATCTACAGAGCCATCCTGACGTCTCTGGAACACCTGGTGAGGGACCTAGGGGTCAAGGGGCCGAGGACTCTGCCAGAAGAGAAAAGCTCCCTGACCTGCAGGGGACCCAGTCCTTATTTCTTCAGAAAGGAGGTGGGGAGGAAGGACAGGCTTCAAGGCTGCCCCGAGTCTGTTAAATCAGGGGAGGATTTACATGAATCCCACCCACCCCTAGGGGAGAATTTTGGTGGAGACCGTTAGTAAATGTTTGTCATAAAAGATCTTGATATAGATCTCAAAGTGAAATCTGAGGTTGAGGAAGTACTCTGTCCACTGGGCCTCCTAGCTGCCCTATGCCTGGCACGCCTGTAAGCATTTCATCGATGCTGGTTGATTGACTTAGTGATGGATTCTTTTTCACCCTCCCCACCTAATGAAAGCCTCCCTCCTTCATCCTCCAGGGGCCTGCTTGGTTTCTAGCTCCTGCGGGCAGCCCTCTCCACCACCCATTACTTCTGCCCACAGGCATCTCCTTCTGTGGAACTCTCATTGTTTGGGGGTGTTCTCTGTCCATTTGTTATGTGCCCATGTCTTAAGTCCCCAACTAGACTGTCAGCCTCCCCGAGGGCAGGGCTAATGTCTGGGATTTCCAGTCTCATCCAGTGCCAGGCAGAATCCAACCAGCCAAGGCTTAGCCCCATTCTGTGGGGCTCTACCGCCCTCTTGGGGCCAAGTCTGAGAGGTGCAGGCCCAGGGCGCCCTCTCCCCAGCCTCAACCCAGCCCCACTCACCAGCCAGCCCCCCTCAGCAGAGGCCATGTCACAGAAGACAGGCAAGACTTTGCCATTGGGCAGGCACACCCGGTACTAGCCACTCAGGGAGGCTCCTCGACTCAGCAGCTCCCTGCAGTCCTGGGGTCCTAGGTGAGTCAGGAGGGCCAGGGCTCTGGTATTCCTTCCAGCTCCCTCTCCTAGCAATGTCCCTTTCCCGTTCCAATCCCTTCATCTCTTCATCCCCTGCCCTACCCAGCAGCTTTCCCCAAGGCTCCCCACAGCCCCTTCCCAGCCAGCCAGCACTAACTCCCTCCCCCAATTCCTTCTCCTTAGGGATTCCAGCAACCAGCCTCAGCACCTACCCTTCTTAACAGGACACCCCCCCCAATCCCACCAGGGGTCCCTGATCTCTATCTCACAATAGAACCCTTGTTGCAACTCTGCCCAAAGACTACAATCCCAAGACTCTTAAAAGACTCCCTTCTTGGCCTCCCCCCCCAACCATTGGTGTTAGAACTGGGGCTGAGTTCAAGAGACTGGAGACACAGGATACCTGGGTCTCCAAACTGTGCCTCAGTTTCCCACCCCTCAGTGTGGAGGGTCTTGAACCTCAGAGGAGGAGAGATTTCAGGACACATGAGTTTTCAGAAGTTCCAGGGAAAAGGCACCCAGCCTAGGCTTGGAATGGTTGCCCCTTCTCCTAGCTGTCTACCCCAAGAGCACTCAGAGATCAATCCTCCAGGAATCTCCTCACCTGCCTGGCACTGCTTCAACATGTCCACAGCATCTCCTGGAACCAGGGAAACAAGCCGTATGTTACCTCAGTGGACACTGTCCCCTAGGTAATGGTCAGGATTGGGGGGAGGAGGTCTGACAGGTTGGGGTGGCCTGAGTAGTGGAGGACGTATTCAAGTGAGGAGAGTGGGAAGGCTCATCCAAACCTTGTTCCTCTCCCTAAAACCCCCATCTCTGGGAAATTCAACTTCTAGTGGGGGAAGAATCAAGTGTGTGGAGCAGTGGGGGAGGGGAGAAAAACCCTAGCTTTGGAGTCAAAGAGAGCTGGGTTCAAATCCCACTTCTCATGCTTGCTACAGTCTCTGATTCTGAATTTCCTCATCTGCAAGAGAACAATTATATCGGTGAAGTGGAAAGAGTATTGGAGTTGGCTTCAGATTGAGGGAAGAACCAGGTTCAAGGCCTGCTCCCAATCTTACCACTGTGGGACCACTTGGGGAAGGTCTCTTTACTTCTCTGAGACTCAGTTTCCTCACATGTAAAATGAGCTTAATCCCTGTAGTTTCTAATTCAAGGGGCTGTTTTAAGAACCCGGTGAGATAATGGCCATGGAACAGGCTTGGCAGACCTTCATGCTGGACATGCAAACATCAGCTACCTTTCTGAGGAAAGGGTCTTGTAAACTGGAACTCTTTGCTTATTATTTGTGGAAGGGCAGAAGGACCTAGGAACTCCCCAGCCGCAGGCTGCCTCTCTGCCTCAGATGCCCACTGAGCCAGAGAGGGGCAAACCCATGTGATTCCAGAGCAGAGAGGTTGGGGAACCCCGATGGAGAGAGGACTCACTCACCAGGTTCCCCCTTGGGTCCGGCTTTCCCTGGTGGCCCCGGCAGTCCTGAAACAAGGTAATGATGGTGGCACCCATGAGCCGGGCACCTCTCAGGACTACTAGCATCTCATCCTTCTGTCTCATGACAGAGGGAGACCCCACAAAAGTCCCAAACCCCACCTCTGTCAAAGAGAAACCTCCCTACCTCCCCCACTTCTCTCTTCTCACCTCTAGAGCCTGGTGCCCCCTTTTCCCCAGGGCTTCCAGCTGCCCCTGTAGGTCCTGGGCAGCCCTGCAGAACCATTATTTTGCTGGTATCCAGAACTTTGGGTTCTGTAGAAGGAAACCGACAATGAAATAATGGGGGGGGGCAAGCGAATGGAGGGCAGGTCGATCAGCTGCTGGCACCTAGGTGTTGACAGTTAGGTGGTGTTGAATCTGGAGCCAGGAAGACCAGAGTTCAAATCTGGCCTCAGACACAACTAACCATGTGACCCTGGGCATTTCACCTCTGCCTGCTTCAATTTTCTCATCTGTAAAATGGGGGAAATAATAGTACTTACCTCCCAGGATCAAATGAGATAATATTTGTAAAGTACTGTATAACTGCTAGCTTTATTATTATTATTACTATTATTATTAATTATCCCTCCACAACCTCTCATACTCATCTACTCCTGGCCTGTCATACATGGCCACTCCCCCAATTTAGGCCCTTGTCACCTCTGTCCTAGGGAGCCCCCAAACAGGTCTTACTGCCCCTCAGCCTTTTCCTTCTCTACACTGTCCTTCACACAGATTGACAAAGTGTTCTTTGTGGGCAGATCTTACCTTATCGCATCCCTGCTTAAAAAACTTTCTAAGGCTCCTCAGTGCCCTGAAATTATTTTGTATTCATTGTATCCCTCAGTGAAACATTGTCTCCATGAGGGCAGGGACCATTTCATTGAGTCTTTGTATCCCCAGCACTTCCTACAGTACCAGGCACACAGTAGGCCCTTCAATAGGCTTCTTATTTGCCACCTCCAGGGTAAAGCCCCTTCACCTGGCATTCAAGGCCTTCCACAATCAGACCCTGACCTATTTCCCAAGCCTCCCTTCCCATATTATCTGCTTCAACCCAGGTGGACCACTTGTCCCTGTTTCTCTGACACTCTGCTGAGGCAGTGTTGCCTAATGAAGAGAGCCTTGGGTCTAGACTTGGTCCTAGGAGCTGCTTTGTACCCAAGCTCTACTACTTACTGGGGGGCAGTCAGGTGGCACAGTGGGTACAGCATTGGGTCTAGAGCCAGGAAGATGTGAATTCCAATGTGGCCTCAGACACTGACTATCTGTGTGACCCTAGGCACTAAGTCACTTTACCTCAGTTCCTCATCTATAAAATGAGACACAGTGAAGAAGGAAATGGCAAACCACCCCAGTATCTTTGCCAAGAAAACCCCACAGAGTCAAACACAACCCAACAACAGCTACCTCCTACTGGGCTGTCCCTGGATAAGTCACTTGGCCCCTCTAGGATTGAGGTGATCTCTACTGTTTGACATCCTATCCATCCTTCAAGCCCCAGCTCAAATCTTCCTCTTTCCAAGGGGGAAGAGGAAGGAGCTAAGAAGAACAGATGGGGAAGAGGTGGGAATTGGGGAGAGCCAGGTGTCAGGCTGAGTAGGGAGGATCCACGGAGGGGCCTGAGGAAGATGCAGGGAGCCCTGGAAGCAGGCTGAGCATAGGGTCAAATGCACTGGTCGTCCCAGCTTAGGGGCTTTCCCCACAAGCCTCCTCCCTTCCTGAGCCTCCCGACTTCCAGGGGCTCGAGGTTCTTGTCTGCTGAGCCCAGCACAGATTTTTTCTTTTTTGCATCCAGGCCTGATAAAAAAGATCTAAGCTGAAGGAGGCCAGGATGTCCAAAACTGAATTCATCTTTCCCCCCAAACTTTCCCTTCCCTTCTTCTTGTTGAGATCACCATCCTCCCAATCACCCAGGCTCATAGGCTAGAGGTCAGCCTCGCCTCTTTCTTATTTTATTGTTGGGTTTTTTTTTTTTAGGCAATGGAGTTAAGTGACTTGCCCAGCGTCACACAGCTAGTAAGTGTTATGTGTCTGAGGCCAGATTTGAATTCAGGTCCAGGGCTGGTGCTCTATCCACTGTGCCACCTAGCTGCCCAGCCTCACCCCTTTCAATCCCTCATATCCAATCTGTTGCTGAGGCCTATGGCTTTTACCTTTGTGACATCTCTCACATATATCCCCTTCTCTCCTCTGACACTGGTGCTCCCTTGGTACTGGCCCTCGTCACCGCCTGCCTGGACCATTGCAATAGCCTGCTGGAAGGGGAGTGTCCCCTTGCCTCAAGTCTCTCCCTGCTCTAATCCACCTCCCACTTAGCTGCTGGTGACATTCCCTAAAGAGCATGTCTCACCATGTTACCCTATTATCCAATCAACCTAACTGGTTCCTTGTCACCTCCAAGGTCAAATATGATATCCACTGGCATTCAAAGCCCTGCATAAGCTGCCTCCCCCATCTTTCTGGTCTGCTTACACCTTACGAGTGAGGCACTAATTCATCCCGGTTTCCCTATGTACTCTTTGATCCAGCAACACTGGTCTCCTGGCTTCTTCTTGAACAAGATACTTCAATCTCCTAACTCTGGGCATTTTCTCCAGCTGTTCCCTATGCCTGGAACCCTCTCCCTCCTCACCTCTGTTTGTAGGTACCTAATGTTTATTGAAGGATGGCTAGGTGGTGCAGTGGGTAGAATGCTGACTCTGCAGTCAAGAGGACCCAAGTTCAAATTAGGCCTCAGACACTTATTAGAGGTGTGACATTGGTCAAGTCATTTAACTCTGTTGGCCTCAGTTTCCTCATCTGTAAAATGAACTGCAGAAGGAAATGGCAAACCACTCCAGTGTCTTTGCCAAGGAAACTCCAAATGGGGTCACAGAAAGTCAGACATGACTGAAAATGACTCACAACAATGACAAATGTTTATCATTTGACTGGCTTGGATTGGGCATGGAGTACCCTCAAACTCCCTAAAGCCCCAGGCACCTTTCCTGTCCTGTTCCCTTGCCCTCCTCCTGTCTTGCAATGATCAGGTGGTAATGGAAAGGACCTTGGGCTAAGTCAGGACATGGGGGGTTCTAGTTCCAGCTCTTCAGTTCACTTGCTGTGTGACCTTCAGCAAATCACTTCCTTTCTCTGGGCCTCAATGTCTTTCTTTCTGAAATCATTGGGGGAGGGGGAAATTGGATTTTACATATCCTCTGAGGCCCCTTTAGATTCTCAGGAGAAGTCCTCCTGATCCTCCAAAAGAGCAGCTCAGATGCCACTTGCTCCCAGAGATCGTTGCTCTTCCTTTTCTCCCATCTCCTGCCGTGTGCACCAGGAGCCCCACTTCTTTCACTTACAACAGCCTGATGAAGCGGCAGGCAGGCGTTCCCTGTCCTAATAGAGGGGGTGGAGCGTTATGGGGAGCAGATGTCTACCTGGGCAGGTGGAAGGCTCCTGGGTCTCAGTGAAGCCAAATCCTGGAGCAGAATTCCTGGCAATGGCAGCTCCATCTTCTCCACACTCATGGACCAGGCTGGGGTACAGTCCTTCACTTATAGACTGTGGGGCAAACAGGGATGTAAACGGGAACTTCCCCTGATTATTCCCACACAGTGGAGCCATGGGGCCAAGGAGCAGAGGGGCATTCCCCCTACCCTTGTACCCTGAGAAGGAACAAAGTGTACCTTCCCCTCATCCTAAACCCTGGAGCTTTGCCAATTTTCTTCCTATCTATTGAATATGCCAGAACTCCTCAGACTCTTCCTTAGACTTCCAGTGAGGGAGGGAGGAGGATAAAGGATATCTGCTCCCTGCCCAAGGCTGGCCAGCTGTGGAGGCTGCTTACATGTGGCATCCTGAGCAGAGCTCACCTAGCTGAGCCTGAGGCTGGACTTGAAGGCCCCACCTGCCTCCTCTGGCTTGTGTGTCTTTCCCTTAGCACAGGTGATTGAATGATGATCTTGACATGTACTTGGTCTGGGTGGCAACCTCCTGAGTTCAAGAGGTCAGGAGCTCCTAGGTTTGGACGCTGGTTGCCTGGCAGGTTGTGACCTCCCCAAGCACTTTTCAGAGGGGAAGATGGCTTTGGCTAGGAGGACATTATAGCTGAAGGACAAAGAAAATGCTGGCTACCATCAGATCACTTCTCTCTTGGACCACAGACAGTACCCTGAAGGGCTTCGCCATGCTCTGGAATGTCTGCCCTGGGAGTTGGGAGGCCCCTGGAATCAGAGAAGCCTGGCCCTGCTCCTTCCTGCCTGGGTGACCTTGGGCAAATTCCTTCACCCTTCTGGTCCCTCACTGTCCTTGCCTGCAAAATGAGGGGCTCGGATTGGTTGCCCTAAGTCCTCCTCCACATCAAAATCAACTATAATTTTCTTTATTTTTAACATTCAATTTGTTTTTCAGTTAGGGAAACAGAGATGGAAGATTTAATGCATCTTTCATTTCCTTCAAGGTACACCTTAGTTACCTGCTGTGGCAGTCCTTTCCTGATGTCCCTAGTTGGTATTGTTCAACAGTGTGTTCTCTCTCTCTGTCTCTCTGTCTCTCTCTGTCTCTCTCTGTCTCTCTGTCTCTCTGTCTCTCTCTCTCTCTCTCTCTCTCTCTTCTGTCTCTGTCCTCTGTCTCTCTGTCTCTGTCTCTGTCTCTCTCTCTGTCTCTCTCTCTCTCTCTCTCTCTCTCTCTCTCTCTCTCTCTCTCTCTCTCTTCTGTCTCTATCCTCTGTCTCTCTGTCTCTCTCTCTCTCTTCTGTCTCTGTCTCTCTGTCTCTCTCTCTGTCTCTCTGTCTCTCTCTGTCTCTGTCTCTCTGTCTCTCTCTGTCTCTCTGTCTCTCTGTCTCTCTCTCTCTTCTGTCTCTGTCTCTCTGTCTCTCTCTCTCTGTCTCTCTGTCTCTCTCTGTCTCTGTCTCTGTCTCTCTCTGTCTCTCTGTCTCTCTGTCTCTCTCTCTGTCTCTCTCTGTCTCTCTCTCTCTCTCTTCTGTCTCTATCCTCTGTCTCTCTGTCTCTCTGTCTCTCTGTCTCTCTCTCTCTTCTGTCTCTGTCTCTCTGTCTCTCTCTGTCTCTCTGTCTCTCTCTCTCTCTCTCTTCTCTCTTCTGTCTCTCTCCTCTGTCTCCTCTCTCTCCCCTCTCTCTGCCTCTCTCTGTCTCTTTCTCTGACCTTGTGTAAATATTTTGATCCTACCATTGAGCATATGCCCTAAGGAGGTCAATGACAGAGAAAAAAGTCCATTTTAGATGTCACCCTATGGAACTTGCAGGTGAGGAAATGGGTGCCCCTTGGTTGGGGAATAGCTGACTAAATTGTGGTATACAGGTGTAATCCAACAATGTAAGAAGTGGTAAATAGGAATCATTCAGGGAAACCTGGAAGCTCAATGTAGACAATTTATGCAATTATGTAAAGGTGAACAGACTTGAAAGATTTCAGAATTCTGATCATTGTAAGCCCTCAGAAGACTTGATAGTGCAGGTTGCCTTAGAGATCTCTCTCAAACAGGTGGTGGAATACAGGTGTAGAAGAGGGCATGTGTTTTCTTTCAGATACGGTCAGTGGGTGATTTTTTTTTTGCTTGAACAATTTCTATGTAAGTTATTCGATCATAGAAACAATGACAACAAAGGTAGTTAGTATCAGGGCGGTAGTGTTAACCCCTGTCTGAGGAACTCCAGCCATGGACTGTAACAATGCACCTAGCATAAAAGACACAAGAATTGGTGCCACCAAAGACATTACTTGTTGCAAGGGAGAGCTCGAATGGGAGGTTGGTTGAGTCTCTTGGACACAACCATGAGGTTTTTAAAAAGCATTGAAAACATTTTAAAAATCACTGACAATGGCTAGAACACTAGACCTGGAGTCAAGAAGCCCCGAGTTCAGATCCAGCCTCAGACACTAGCAGTGTGACCATAGTTAACCCTTCTGTTTAATGAGGGGGCTAGACAAGGTGACCTGTGAGATTCTTTCCATGGATTATTTCTCAGCCAGTTCATGCACCTGGACTGCAACCCTCGAGCCTTTGGGAGGGAATTGGAGAGAACCAGAGCTGAGAAGGACAGAAAGAAGAGGGTCTGTCCTGGGAATCAGACATAATTTCCTAAATGAGATCATTGCCCATCCATTCAGCCCCATCACCAGGGAGACATGTGGCCCTGAAGAGAGCCATGCAGAGAGATGGTGATAGAGCTGTGAGGAGTTTCTGGGCCAAGCCAGGAGCTTCAGCAGCACAGCTTGTCAATTTGTGCTGCCATCCCAGGTAAACAAATTGATGGCCAAGCTCTCTAGGGTGCTTATCCAAATGCCCACCATAATCTGGACAATAGACATCCTTCACCTGATGGGTCTTTACTGTGTCGATTGGGCAGCAAGGAGGCGCCAAAGTGCACAGAGCACAGGGCCTGGAGTCAGAAAGACTCCTCTTCCTGAGTTTTAATCTCGCCTCAGACACTTCCTAGCTATGTGACCCAGGGCAAGCTACTTAACCCTCTTTGCCTCAGTTTCCTCATCTGGAAAATGAGCTGGAGAAGGAAATGTCAAACCACTCCAGTATCTTTGTTAAAAAAAAAAAAAAGAAATCAGGAAGAGTCAGATAGCACTGAACAACGACTCCCAGGATTGTTTTGAGGATCAAATGAGACTATTTGCTTTTTTATTTTTTTAGGCAGTTGGGGTTAAGTGACTTGCCCAGAGTCACCGAGCTAGTAAGTGGCAAGTGTTTGGTCCAAGGCCAGATTTGAACTCGGGCCCTCCTGACTTCAGGGCTGGTGCTCTATCCACTTTGCCGCCTAACTGCCCCATTGAGATATTATTTGTAAAGCACTTAGCACAGTTCCTGTCACACAATAAGGGCTTAATCAATCAATGTTTGTTCCCTCTGTGTGATATTTATTTTTTTTCTGTGTGATACTTATTGACACAGATGCTGTTATTATCCCCATTTTATAGATGAGGAAACTGAAGCAGTCAGAGGTGAAGTGACTTGCCCAGGGTCATGTAGCTAATAAGTGTCTGGCACTGTCTCCCTGAATACAAGCCCAGCAGTGTTGCAGGACTCTGCCCACTGAGTCACCTAGCTGCTTAGAAGAGAATGAAGAAGCACCCAGTGGATACAAGCAGACTGCAACATAGAACCAACCAGTGAGGAGTTTCAAAGACTCCAGGTCTCGGTTTTTTGCTTCAGTGTCTGTCCATCAGTTTTAGGCTAGGTCTGCGACTCTTGAGAGTAGAGTTCGCACCAGGTTTTGCAGCCAACCTAACATTGATGCCTCGATGAGGAGAAGGCAATGCCATGTTTGGTTGTGAACTTGGTGGTACCAATGCTGTGTAGCTAATGCATCGAATCTGATCTCACTCTTCCCAGAGGTTGAGGTAGTGTAAGGTAAAATGTCCCCTGCAGATGCCTATTCTGTTCTTGCTATGTTTTTAAAATAAACATCTCTTTGTAAAAGCTAATTGATGTTAATTGCTCAAATGGAATCCAGGTGCTAGTCACTGGCAGCTGAGGGGGAAGAATACATCCAAGACATAGAGTCTTGAGAAAGCAGTAGAGGAGATATCCCCCAATCCCTCAAGATAAGCCTAGAACTTTGAGGGGGAGATAATGATAATAGTTAGCATTTATATAGCACCTGTTATATGCCAGGCACTATGCTAAGCGCTTAAAAATTACCTCATTTGATTCTCACAACAGCCCTTCGAGGTAGGTAGTATTATTATGGCCATTTTATAGGTGAGGAAACTGAGGCAAACTGAAGTTAAGGAATCTAACCAAGGTCACACAGCTAGGAAGCATCTGAGGCCAGATTTGAATTCAGGTCTTCCTGACTCCAGGTCCAGATCCCTCTATGCACTTCACCTCAAGATGCACTCCAACTTCTCTCTGGAAGAGAGAGACAGAGTAATTGCTATATACATTAATCCAGAGCTTCGGTCTTGGGCTACAGGAATGGGACTGGATGATCTCTGAGAGCTCTTTTGGTTTAAGATCCTGCAACACCTTCAGCATCATCAGAAAATACTTGGGGCACTGAGGAAGTAGCAGCAAATTTCCCTTTGGGCTGTATTCCCGAAGTCGGTGAGGTATCAGTTATCTAACAAGGGCGTTCAATATCTGAGTTGTCCACAAGGTGGCGATGTTCTTGGGCCACCAGCCCAATTACCAAGTCAGTTCCTCTCATGGTAGGACTTCCCAAAAGTTTCTCCACTGGCCACCAGAGGGCGCACAGCCTCTAAACTCTATTCTCTTCTTTCCCAAATTCAACCAAAGGGCTGAGCAGCTTCCCTTCCAAAGGTGATGCTGGCTGGGTTTAAGATTTGAAATAGCAGATGATAGGAAATATTGCTTAGAATATTAAAAATAGAAGATTATGGCTCTAGTCCCCCATTCCGCATCTGCAATCTTCTTTCTCAGTTGATCAACCCCAACATTCATAGGGCGGGGATTCGACATGATGTGACTATGTAGTTTATGGAACATTGTGTAAATTAATTGACCCTCTCCCTGCTTCTCCAACTACCTCCCAAAACTCCTCCTCCTTGAGTGTCAAAAGAACAGACTCGAACTATTAATCCAGTTTGGGGAAAGGATTAAGGAAGGGATTTCATATCTGGGGCCTTTCTTGGGGTCAATGACTCTACTAAAGGAAAAACAAGGATGTGTCATCAAAAGAGCTTTCCCCTTTAGCCCTTAACCCAGCCTTTCAATAGATGCTAGTTCCTGACACTCAAGACATGCCTCTTCTATGCTGATCTCTGCCACAAGCGTCTTTAGGTGCCATAGATGTGAGTAGGGCTAAGTTTTTCCTTAGGATTCTTTCTCATCCTCCATCTCTCATGACTAACAGACCTAAGGCTGCAGCAGCACACTGAAGGTTTTTTTAAAAGATTTTAAAATAAATTTAAGTTTAAAAGTTATTAAAATAAATTTTATTGATATGTTATTACATCATTTAAATTTTCCAGTATGGTGAGAAGGAGGGGAAGAAAATAACCATTTAAATAGTGCCTACAATATGCCAGGCATTATACGAAGCACTTTACAATTATCTCATTTGGGTCCTTATAACAACCCTTTGAGGTAGGTGCTGTTATTATTCCCATTTTACAGTTAAAGAAACTGAGGCAAGCAGAGGTTAGATGACTTGCCCAGGGTCACATAGGTAGCAAATGTCTGAAGCTGAATTTGAACT